TCCCTAGACTGCTGCACTCTCTCCTCACCAAATGAACGTTTCGGCAAGTACGTGCTCGTCACATCGAGCCGCAGCTAGAGGAATCTCTGGCCCTAAACAAACGTCAACCACAAACGGATGATCCAACCGCGCTTCAAAGAGCTCTTTTAAAAATCCGCATCTTTTCCTACGTAGAGCGAACTGAAAGGAAGCAATTTTTTTGGCCCGGGAAGGGGGGGGGGGGGGGTATCAGGTCTTCTGGTACATACCTGCTGGCTGTCGCAGCTGCCGGGGCCACAGCACTAGGTCCGGCACCGGCAGACACGCCGGCAGCAGCGGTCTCCCAAGCAGAAGAAGAGACCCTCGCGAGGCGACCAGATGGCGAGATCGACCACCACGCCCTCGAAGAAGCCGTCGGCAACAGCAACAAACCACCCCGCTCACCCCAGCCACCACCGCCACCGCCGCCGCCGCCGCCGCCGCCGTGGGTTTCCACGTGAGGAGGCCGCGCCAAGACGAACAGGGCGGCGTCTGCGGCGGGAGACGGCCGGAAAACGGAGCTCCAGTCAGGCGTCGACCTGAGGGGTGCGGGGGAGAACGGACCCTCCGGAGATGATGATGATGATGATGATGACGATGACGATGGCGGCGGTGGTGGTGGCGGCGATGAGGAATCTCGGAAGAAGAAGGAGTAAGGCGACCAGGAGGTGTCTCGCTGCTGCCTCAGGGGAAGCGGGCGGCTCCGGTTGACTGCTCCACTGGCCACGTGAAACGTCTGCCACATTCAAGCGAAACGATTGTGGGAAGGGGGGGCGTATGCTAAGCGTACTTCAAGTGTCTGGTACGTGTAACAAGAAAATCAAAGTGCGTAACACACTTGAAGCGGGTGGCATGTGCAGAAGAAGCAACCCAGAATGTGCTGCATGAAGGGGCTATGCCCGGGGGGAGGGGGGGGTCAACGTGTGTCATAAAAATATACCAGTATATAATGTCTGGTAGGTGTACACAAGTGGAACACAGATTGTGGGCAGTGAAGGGGGGCATAGGCCGGTCTCCCCGGTAGCCTATAGTAGTTGGTTCCTCGCCGTCTAGTGGCCAGGGTCAGGGGTTTGATTCCTGGCGCGAGCGGGCCGTTGTTGCAAAGCGAGTTTTTCTCTCGCTTCCGTTCCTGACCTGGGTGGAAAGCGCTATTTAGTTCGTTGGAAGAAAGTGCTGCACTTTTCTCACAGAAAAAATCGAAGGCAAAGCACGGCAGGAGGGGTGGATAGAGGGGCTCTTCTGTGCGACTACGGGTTGGAATAAAACAGTCCAAATGCTGCAAGCGCTGATTTGAAGTGAAGACAGAAGAACAAGAAAATGGGGGGGGTGGGGGGTGGGGGGCAGTATCTCCCATACCTATTTCAAAGGTCGGCCGTGAGCATGCAAGCAAAACAACGAACAACAACGAACAACAACAGCAACAAGGTCTCACCGCGTATGGTACTGTCTGCGCGAACAGAAGGAGAAGCGCCATGAACGCCAGAAAGCTTCCCGCGGCACCCACGGCAGGCCAACCCCACAAGAACAACGCCTGCCCAACCCCAACCGAGAAAGAAACAACAAAAAAGAAAGACGGACGGACGGACGGAGGGAGGGAGGGAGGGAGGTGGATACCGTGCTGCGACTTTCCGCTTTCGATGTTCCGAGGGAAAGCCTTTGCACCGGGGAAGTGCACATTTTTTTTTTCTTTTTTCCTGCGTATTGAGTAGTTAAGCGGCACACTTCTACATCGAAGCAAAGTAGGACATGACTTTACAGTCTCTCGTTGGCAACCCCTACGAGAAAAAAAGAGATGAGCATCTAAATACCTTCCATCACGAACACTTGCTTGCTCATCGTTCAACCTACGTTCGCGGATGGAGACGAGAACATAGAAAAACTGCGGCGAAACAAAAAAAAAAACATTGACCGTGAGGCCCACATCCTCAACTCGAATAGGACCAACCATAGATCGTGAAAACCAGCAGCGGTTCAACTCGAGAAATCACTCTGAGTACCTCGCTTCTGAAGTCACCTGGCGTCATCGCTGCTCAAGATGTACTGCAGGCTAGCGTTCCGTAAACCTTAATATTTCTATTCTTCGAAACTTCATGTTCGTGTAAGGCGGTTCTCATGGCCTAGAAACAGGGGAGGCTTAGAGCACCCTGAAAGACAAGTATTGACGCTGAAATGTGTTGGGACAGGGTTGGACTGGGCGGCAAGCAGGTCGGAACTGCTCTTTATAAAGGGGCAAGCTCAAGCACACAAAAAACGAACTGACGCTTACACGGTGCTTCAGAAAATTGCATCTCTTACACAGGTACACCGAGCGGAAAAATATCCCGGCTTGCAACCCAACCGGCAACCCAACCCTGCACATGCACACATACCTCGCCGTCAACGTCCTCGTCCCTCGGCGGCGCCGCCAGCTGTTCCAACACCCCTGCCAAGAACCACTCCACCCTGCCCAGCAACCCGAGCACCACGTGCACCCCCCCCTCCCCCTCCCCCCCACCGGCGCCCTGAATCCCAGCGGCGACCCCCCCGCCACCAACGGCAAGGACGCGACCTTCGCCACCGTCCCCTACCGGGGGAACAGCAACACCGACTCCATGCTCTCCCGCCTGCGGTGCCCCGTTGCCGCCCACGCCAGCGGGGACAGCGTTATCCTCCTCCCCACCCCCGGCCGCCGCTCCTCCTCCATCTCTAGGCAATTCCGCGCCGCCGCCCCCGCCGCCGCCGCCGCCGCCGCCGCCGCCGTTGTTGCCGTCTACGGGCCCCCCTGTGCCCCTGCCAACAACCGGCGGCTCTCCGTCCATAACGCCTCGCTCTGGAGGAATTGGAACCTCCGCCGCCGCGGCCACCGCCCTACCGTCATAATCACCAACATCGCCGCCGCCGCCGCCAACGCTGGGTACCCCCGACGCTTCGACCTCACCGCCAGCCGCAGCAGGTGCGGCCGCTTCCCCTCCTTCCTCGCCGATTGGCGGGACGGCCGCTGCCCTGCCAGCTGGAAGCGGCAGCGTGGCAGCCGCTGCTGCATCGCGGGCGGCGGCCGCTGCACCGTGGGCGGCAGCCGCTGCATCGTGGGCGGCGGCAGCGGCGTGGAGGGCTCTGTCGCGGACACGGTCCAGCATAACCTCCACGAGGATATCGTCGGGGGGGTCTTGTTCGTTCCGCGGCCCCCCCGCCACTGGGGCGTCGTTTCTCCCGGGAGGAAGCGGAGGAGGCACGTTGTTATCGTTGTCGTTGCCGTTATCGTTGACGTTGTCGTTGTCGTTGTTCAGCCGGGGCAGCGGTGCTTGTCCTGAGGGATAAAGGTCGGGGGACAGCGCGAGAGGATGATGGTCCACGAAATGATACAACGTCCACGCTTGTATACGTATGTCGTTATAAATGCTCCAAGGAAGAACGCGCACATCTCCGAGCGATTAGGTGTTCCTGTGAGGAGGTTCATTCACAAGGCACGTGATTGCCAAAGGTTGTCCCCAGAAAACTCACAAAAATGGAGCACCAAACGGACACCATTGAAGAGTGCAAAACCCAGCGATGGTTCTGCTGCCCCGTCCCGTATTTCGGAGCATGGGGAAAAGTATCCACCACAGAGACTATCGTGCGCCCAAGCAAAGGGTTGGTGCGGGGTATGTTACAGCCCACAAAATGACGGCAAGTAGCTTGCCACGATGTGGTTTGGTGTGTACAAGGGCTTGACCATCGAGCCCACACCGGGTGATTCCATCCACATTGAACGAAGTAATCGATATGTGTTGAGGCGGAGATGCGTATGCGGGCATGGCGGCGAGAACGATTGCAAACGAAACGTCGTCGATGTCAAGACCGCAATACCACCAAAACGACGACGACATCGGCGCGATAACGATAACGACGCGACAACGACAACGACGACACCAACCATGACCACAACAACAACAACAACAACAACAACAACAACAACAACCCGAAAAATTGTACGTCACCGACGAAAAAAAATACATCATCACCGCCAAAGGACGATGATGACGGCGGCGACACCAACCGTGACGACAACGATGACGATAACGACAAAGACACAACATACCATCACAGGCAAACACGACAATGTCAGCGGCGCCACCCATGGCCACAACAACGACGACAACAACGAAGACAAACACAGCATCACCGCCAACAACGATCGACGACACCAACAACACGGGTTTCAGTCAGTTCACCTCGCAGTTCGTCCTCGTCCCCCAACCACCACCGCTCCAGCACGACAGGCAGCGCCTTGACAAGGTTAACGAACTCCAGAGCAAGCTCCACGCAGGGCGGCCCCAAGCACATCACGCCTGACCACAAATCGCGTCAAGTAAACAGTTAAAAACGACGGCAAACAAATGTAAGGATACATTTAAGGTTGTAGAAATTCCGAGATTTGATTGGAAGGATGACTTCCGGGTGTCCTGTGGGTCTCCCTGCTCCCTATACAGGTTTCGTCAGGAGAAAAGCGGTTTGCCGGTCGGATCCCGTGAGTGCGGCAAAAGAGAAACGTCGCAGGCCAGTAGAACGATAGGCTTGCGTGTTGCAGGCGGCTTACCCATAGGGGCCCCCAACACCGCCATCAACGACACCCCCGCCACCACCACCACCACCAACACCAACACCACCAACAACAGCAGCATCTCCACGATCATGAGTCCGCCGCCATCATCATCACCCATGGACCAAAGCCATCACCAACACCAACCACCAGACAGACAGACCACCACCAACCACAACAGCAACGACAACAACAACGACAAACCCACCGATCATGAGGCCGACGCCCCCGCACCAGTCCCCCAGAATGTCCATCCAGCTGCCCCACCCAACCCTCTCTAGCCCGGGGAGGCTCACCCCCCGCCCCCCCCCCGCGACCGCCGAAGGTGGCCCACCGCCGCCCGCCCCCAGAAAAATCGCGGAAAATTCCTGGGCTAGGAGGAGGCTCAGGCCGATCCCGAGGCGGAACAAGAGGCAGTAGAGGACCGGGATGGCCAGGCCCCACATCTGCATGTTCAGCGCTCCCCTGTAGCGGCATCACGTGATAGTGTGGAGGGGGGGCAGTGAATCGACTTAGTGGTGGGAAGGAGAGGGGAGGGTTTCAGCTTTCGGCAACATTGGATAACCCGGGTCGCGAAAAAAGGCAAGCTAAGAGAGGAAAACAAGAGCGGTGGGACGTCAGCAAACCGAATCGATGGTGTTTGCGCGCGAGAGAGACAACACACGCACTGCCTGGGTGTCGGCGGTACGGCAGTCTGCTGCTGTGCGCCCACGCCTAAACGAGCCCCCCAAACAATATTCGGCCTCGGTACATAGCCGGTCGCCGCCGTGTCCGAAAAAAAGAAGCCCCACTATCAAGCATGCATGGGCACATCCGGAGGATGCCATGCCAGAGGCGCTTCAGCCCTCAACATGTCTACTTTGTATGTGAATGACAATCAAAGGCCCCTTTACACTAACGTCGCGCGCCCGGCGCGATGCATTCCGATTTTGTGTCCAAGCTTGAACTTACCTGAAAGCGTCAAGGAGACGCGGGGTCGCTCTTCGCACGGCACCGCGAACGAACTGGAGAAGGGGAGAGGGGGAAACGGCAGAGGGAAAAACGACAACAACATCAACATAACCAAAGAGAATAGATCAACAACAACAGCAATAGCCGACTGCGACAAACCGCAACCGGTTTACAAGCACACACAGGCCAAGGGTGTTGCGACACTTTCAAGCAATCCGCAAGACGAGACAGGACACAAGGTGACCTGCAGCAGATTTTTTTTTTTATCATACAGCAGTATTTCGAGAGTAGGCACGTTGTTTCAAAAGCCTTCGGGGCTCACCGCCCTTGTGTCTGTTTGCTTGGATGACAAAACAAAGAAAAACGGCAGTGAGAAGATTCGCGAACATGAAAGAAAGAGCAGGGAAAGGAACGACAAACATAGGGCAGCGAGCGGACCGCAACAGGCCGGCTGCACAACAAGCCAATCGCACAGCAGCAGGTTAGTCATTCAGTGTCCCGGAGGGAGATAAGACGAAACCGGCACGTCTCACCAACAGCAAAGGGGACGCCAAGCACCTGGTAACAATTTCCGCGCCTTAAGGAAACATCTCCCGACTAAACACCCGCAGGGGCACGCACAGCATTTAGCAGTTACTCACAACCTGACCCCCAGACCGCAGAATGCGCAAACTCTTCAACGACTATCATACCCGGTCGCCCCGGTGGTCTAGTTGGTAGCCTCGTAACCTTCTAGAGGTCAGGTCAGGGGTTCGAATCCCGGCGTAGGCGAGCTTTTCTTGCAAAGTGAGTTTTTCTCTCGCTTCCGCTCCTGGCCAAGTGGATAGCGCTATTTCGTGTGTACACAGAGGGAAGAGAGTGCTGAACTCTTCTAGCATTAAAAATCGAAGGCAAAGTACCGCAGGAGGGGAGGGTAGAGAGAGGCTCTTCTGTGTGACCACGGGATGGAATAACCGGCACTAGTGTTGTGAGCGCTGATTTGAAGTGAAGAACAAAAAAAAAAAAAAACTGCGCACAAAAAATACCCACACGAAAAGAGTGGTACATTTTGAAGAGAGTAGAACCGTCCGACCTGCTACAAAAAGTCTGATTATTTTCTGATTGCTGATACAAACACCAACCTGACCCCAGACGGCAGCATGCGCAAAATCTTAAACGACAATAAATAATACACATCAATTTTACACAAAAAATATATAGTAGTCGTTTCAAGAGCGTTACTCTCCGATTCTTCTCCGGTACACCGACACCAACCTGATAAATGCCCAGCTTGGCCGGCGCGCCCGGGCGGTACCTCGCCTTGAACACCAGCTTCTCTCGGCACAGCTCACACCGCTGGGCCTGCAGCGCGCTTGCGTCGTCAGGCACCCCGCCCGCCCCGCCTTCTGCTCCGCCGCCACCCCGAGCGGCCCCGCCGCCCCCCCCGCGTGATCGGAGCCACTCGACCAGGCAGTCCTGCATTCGGGGACCAGCGATGTCGAGTGTTTTTATTGTTAGCATCGACCGCGCCAACCGGCTGACCAATGAAAATACGTCAGTCTCAGTGCGGGTGACAACCAAGAACACTTCTAAATGCCATCAACCGGGACCCCGTGAGGGGTCAAAGACAGAAACGGTAGAACAGAAGAAAACTGCACACGTCTACGAAGGCAGCTAGCTACCTTGCACTCGATTTCGTTTTGGAGTGCTTTCAAAGATGTATGTGTGTGTATGTCTGTGTTTAGCATTGATTGCGCTACGTAACCGGTTGACCGCTGAAAAACCAGTTCGCTCTCGTGCGGCTCAAAAAAAAATTGTGTGGGTGTGTTCTTTAATTATTTGCAACGGCCGCGGTAACCGGCTGACCAGTGAAAAGACGTCGGTCCTACAGCGGGGAACAATAAACGCCAAAAAGCTTCCCAATCGAAGAGTTCTGCACCGACAGGAGATGGACGACAGCAGTGTCCTGCCGCTGACAAACGAGGACAAGACTCAAAGTTGTGCGTCTGTACTCATGTTAGCATCGTCTGCGCGAACCGGCTGGCCAATGAAAATCATGTACGTGTATGGTATTCGGATCGACTGCGCTAGCCGGCTGGCTGACTAGTCAGCCATTGTTGAGGGGGACACAACGACAACAAGAAAAATTAGTCCGCGCGGCCTGGTGGCAGCATGGAGAGTGTACCCCACGCGTGACTATCTCAAGGGCATCGACTGTGCTAACTCAACTGGCTTATGGCGTGTGAGGGTTTTGCAGGTCGTACTTGATCATCGAATGGTTCCTTCTGAGAGCAATCACAACTCTTGCAAGACCGTGACAAGGAGGAAATGAACAAGGATGTACTTAAAAACGCAAGGAGCAAAAGAGTGAGCAAGCCTCAAGGCTCTGAACAGTATCCCAACGAGCTCGGCAAAGGCGGAGGACGTATCATCCACAGCACCCCTCCTCTTCCGCACTGGCGCTCTTTCGCCTTACGTTTCCTCGCCTCCTTTTCCCGCAACCGTTGTTGGAGGGAGTGATAGGATAACAGTAAGTCTCTCTACCGAAAGTCGCGGGGAAAAGAGGCGAAGAACCGCAAGACCAAGTACCGGTAAGTGCATAGAGAGTGGACGACTTCTTGAGGATGGCAAGTGCTGGGGATGATGCATCCTCTGCCTATGTCATCCGAGTACGTTGGGCGGGTGGTCAGAGCTCAAAGGCGTTTGTTGCTCTTAACGACGTACAACATGCTTGCGTATCGCCTCTACCACTATCCTCCTTCTACACGGTCAACTGTGCTGATGATTCCTCTCAGTGTGAACCATTCGGCGATCAAGCGCGACTTGTAGCGGTGCAGTTGGTCGCGATGGCCGCGCTAACCGGCTGACCAATGAAAATGCATCAGTCTCAGCGCTGCAAAAAGCGGAGACACGCTACCGTGGGTTTCATACGTAAGATACCACACCCCCCTGCAGGAACGATTCTCAAACTAAGCTCGATCGCTGTGCAGCAAAGACGGTGTCGAAAGTGGCAGCGTTGCAACCCCCTTGCTCGAGAGCTTGCCCATAAACCCACCATCGTGTCGATCTTGGCGTCCTCTTTTTGGTCGTGGAGGAAAATTGAGGTGTCCTAATTCGATTCGAGATTGGGTGTTGTCCCAACAAAGCGTGCGGTAGCCTAAGGTAGCTTGACAGGAAGACCTCCGTTTTGAGGGGCCAGCGGCACATGTGCCGTTGCATTTTCGGAGCGGATTCCGGCATGGGTGCCTTCCTACCGAGGAGGGCAACCAGCCAAGTAGTCATTTTATTCTTGTTTTCTTGGCATCCAAGAACTTCTGAACCAACCAGCCGGGGTCATACAGGAGGAAGGCCACACAGATGTTCAGCGGAGAACCAGCAATAAAGCCCCTGTGGGAGCGTTTTCTATGTCTCCAACGTCAAGTGTTCTTCCAAGGCAAGGGCTCAGATGACTATTGATCACGACTCTACCGTTATGTGTGCTCGGTTTGAACTGCACCTCGTACGCATATCAGTTCAAACGTGTTCCGCAACGATCATGTGATTCTGTGACAGCTTAGGCCGAAGAACCATTTTGTTTCCGTGCTCGGTGTCTTGCCCCATCGAACCCGCCGACGAGAGCGACAATTGGAGTATACACTCGTAATCTTCCATTCAACCGCAAGACAAATGAGCGGGGGTGATGTCGAGAAGTGCGTGTGTCTTTCACCTCCCTATCGTGTCAAGCAGGGTGCCAAATAAACCTTCGGAAAATGTGCAGTGTTTCTATGTACCACCTCCCTATCGTGTGTAGCGGGACAGACGCCTTGTTGTTAAGCGTAGCTGTGTTGGCTCACCTGATGGACGTACTTGATGCTCCCACGGCAGCGGCAAGGGTGAACCAAAGGACGCGCCCCCCCCTCGTCGTCCCCTCTACAAACACGGCACTCCGGCTCCTCCTCGGAGTCACTGCCCGCATCCCCCCGCACCGCACCGTCCCCCCCTCTCCCCTCCGCGCCTTCTTCCTCTCCCCCATCGCCATCCCCGCCCCTTCCCCCTGAACCTTCCGCTCCTGCGCTGCCTTCGTTGTCGCTGCAGCAGTCTTTGCCGTCATCGCTGCTGCTGTCTACATTAATGCTGCCGCTGCCAACACCGGTGCCTTTGCCGCCGGCTTGATCCTGCCCGCTGCTAACGCACTGCTGTCCAGCATCGGGAGCGACCGGCGAAGCACCGCTGCTGATGCCACTGCTGTTATTATCGCTACGAGTACGTGCGGCCGCCTCCCCACGGCCGCCGCCGCCGCCGCCGTCGCCTCCGCCGTGTCCGAAGCCGCCAGACGCCGGGGCAGCGGCCGAGACACCGCTTGGCGGCGCGTCCGGCGAGTCATCACCTTGACCTCGTGCCTCGCCGGTGCTACTGCTTCCTCCGCCGGTGCTACTGTTGCTACTGTTGCTGCTGCTGCTGCTGCTGCTGCTGCTGCTACCGCTACCGCCAGGGTTCGCCTGAGCATACGCGGGAGGAGCTGGTACGCTGCCTCCGCCCAAGCTCCCGCCGCTCGCGGCGCCGAGAGAGCGCAACGGTACAATCGGCATCGTTGCCGCCGCCCCCGCCGCCGCCCCTGCGACCCGTGACTCCGCCAGAAGAATCCCGTTATTTTCCACGTTTGTTAGCGCGGCAGGAATGGTCCCGTTGGCGTCGGCAAGGCCGCTGCCGTTCTGGTGGTGGCCAGGGGTCCCCGCGGATAGGGACTCCTCCGCGGCACCGTTTGCCAGACCCGGCAACTGCTCTTTCCGCGGGATCAGGCCATCAACAGCAGCATCGCTCTCCCGGCAGAAACGCAGCGATAGATGCTCCCCTTTCGAGCGGTTGCCGCCCGCGTCGCTACCCTCCCGCTGCTCTCCGACCCGGGGCTTCTTTAGCGGACGTGCTCGGAGCGGAGACAGAGCTTCGGCCCCCGGGAACAAGTCTCCTCCTCCGCCGCTGCCGCCGCTTTCAGTTTCCTCGCTGACAACCGGACTTGATATCGTTGCCGCCGACAGTGGCGTTTGATCTGGAGCCCCATCGTCCCGCCCTGGCATGCCCCTCTGCAACACCAGTATGTGCAGCAAGCGTGGCGGTGTGGAGGATCAGGCAGCACTTTGTGTGCGCATCATATGCATAAATACAAACGCAATACCCTTCTTCTGCGATACTGCCGTCAGGCAGCTCAAGCATTGGACATTCGCTTGGCAGGGGGCCTAATAGTGGGCATCTCCTTGGCCGCTCTACCATGTTCCGTGCACACACCGGGATTGATTGTGAGATTGGATACCAAAAGCGGGACAACTGCCGTGATGCACACAATATGCTGTCGAAAAATGCGAGCTTTCGAGAAGGAGGAGACGTGCCGCCTCGTCTTCACCTCCAACAGCATCGGACCACAGCATAGTCCTTGACAACGCAAGGGAAGCTTACGACGGGGCGTCCCTCAGGTTGACGGGTCGTGTCATCTCAAGCGTGAAAGACTCCGACATGTTCTCCGGTACGTATGTATGTACCACACCGCTACTGCTGTCTCGCTGTTTGCCTCTCTCTGCGGTGGAAAGAAATCAACTACAGCCGTAGTCTCCAAAAAAGGAAAACCATACTTCAACCTTGACCCCGATACCCAGCACGCCGTAGCCAGAACAACGAAGCAGTGTTGGTCCCGTGCTGCTGCTTGTACTCGGTTTAGGTCCGCCTCAACCACATTGGAAAGCAAGTTAGAAATATGCGGCGGGTTTTCCGGGAAGAGAAACGACAGCGGACAGCGGTTCTTGCTATGTACCCCTGCAAGCTCGGGGCGTCGCCAATTTTCCCACCCCTTCCGGGACCTCTCACCTCCATAGGACTTGGCCCAGCCTCCTTTCATGCAGCAGGTGCTCTCGCCGACTTCCCTCGCGCTCTCCGGGCAACTCCGGGTCTTGATGAAGTACCCCCGATTACCGAGACCGCTCAACAAACGCCACCTTCGTGTGCAACTCTTCCCTCTCCGCCAATCTCTCTCTCTCTCGGAATCTGGGAACCACCGCCGCAACAAACCCACTTGCCCCTTGCTGTCCCCACGTCTCTCTTCGTCCGGCCTCTCTCCGGGTTTTTCACGGGGTCAGACAAGAGGCAGCATAAACTGGCTTGTGTCGTGCGAGCTTGGCCTTTGGTGGAGCTTCGAGCAAGCAAGCGGTGTGGTCGAAACAACGGAGAGCCAGCACACACCGACCAGCAGGAACATCGTGCACCGGCCACAACAGGAGACTAAACCGAACATTCGTCTACTCACTACTCATTGCGGCTTGAGGGGCGGCGTTGCGTCCCGCGGGTGCAATGAACGTCGGCTGGGAGCACTGCGGGTATGACTCGATCGATGACGAACGCCTCGATCCTGAGAACAGCGGCGGGTGGCAACCACCACAGTCCGCGCGACACGGAGAGAGAGGTATGGCGACAAAATAAGGTACCGGTAACGTCATGCAACTCGTCTCTACCGCAGCGGTAACAACGAAGTCTACCAACACGGTTTCCGTGGACGTGTAGAAGTACAATTGTAATTTTACCCTCCTCAGCATCGTAACAAATTCTTCAAGATGGCCACCGACCTGCTAAATGTATGCACAAGCATTGAAAATACCGGTGAGTCGTGTAAAAGTCTACGACGACTGCTGTGGTTCTTTCTATTTTCTACACCCAGCAGTGGGGTGGTCTAGCACGACTCCAACCTACAGTCGACGGCACACCTCGTTTTCGTTTTTTTTTAGGGGGGAGTTTCTTTAGGTTTCCGGGGACAGCAGTATGTATCGCACTGTGACGAGATGTGACGATCTCTGACGCGGGTTCAGTGTAGAGCTGGTCCGGCCACTGGAGCCGCTTCGTTTCTTTTTGTCTGTTTCCTTCCTTATCCTTCCTTTCTCTCTCAGTCGCTCGCTATCGCTGACTCCCAGGCAACACCAGGGAACACCAGGCAACACTGAGCAAGGTGGAACGCTTGCTCATCGCTTGCTACTGCCAGTAACCATTGTACCGCTACCTGCCTAAAAAAAAATACTATGTAGGAATCTGGGCAGGTGGTCGGGATATTCCTGAAGATATACCCGCCCAGATGGTATCTTAGTCCAAGGCGTAACACTAGCCCACCCTGAGGGGACATATACGCAGAGGCTAGAACCTGAAAGGGATAAGGGGAAAATAACAATCCATCTGAGGCATCTACTCTAGACTCGAGGGTACGGAGCCTCACAAACCTCTCCCACACCTCTGCGTGGATTTCAAGAGAGCTACGCTCTCGGCTAGCAAAAGGGCAGAATTGAAACAAGGGGAAACTGGGACAAGCAGCGTGTGGCTGACAGTGGCTATGAAAGCTGAGCAAAGCAGTTCGGAAAACGTCCAAAGATAAAATCAGGTGCAGTACATAAGCAAGCTAGTAAAGAGAGAAGAAAAAGTCGGGGGGTCTATCGACTGCAAGAGGGTCACGAAGAACGGCGATATGACGTCAGGATAGTCCCGAATACGCAACATAAGCACAATAAAATGCTCAATCTAATACAAAATTGCAAAAGAAAAAATGCTCAGAGACAGCGGCGCAGCGGGAGCGGGCTAAAAAGCAAGAGCCAGTAAGTACGGTGCTCCGCGCGCGGTCCAATAAAACGGGGGGGGCGACAAACGGGCGGCGGTTGTCGGAGTGGACGCTGAAATATAAAAAATGGATACATATAGGTGGGTGGACAAGGCCAAAGATCAATAGCACTCTCGAAAGCTCAAAACGGGGGCGTCGACAGTAGATGTCGCAAGCTACGGGGGTCAACAGCGGAAGAGACAAGCGGCGGGGGAGCAACAATAAGTCGTGCTCGCACGAGCCCGAAAGGTAGCGGAACAAAAACACGATACGGGCTACAGATGTAAAGTCGGCAGCATGGTCGAGCGCAAAACACAAGAGCGTAGACTAAAACTTATCACGCCAGCAGACGGCTGTAAGAGCGAGGTGCCTGGGTGGCAACGGTGTCCAAAACAAAACAAAGCTATAACGTCAGATGCGCAAGAAGTAACACAATAAATAGAAGTTACAAGCCAATGCCAGGGTCGTAACCAGACAGGGGCAGATTGCACCGTGGGGGAAAGAGCTGCTGACATGGCGAGGGAATGCATCAAAAACAAAACAAGAACAGGCGGCATCCGGTGTTCAAACAGGGTGTTTTCACCGGGCAGTGGCTGAAGAGGGCGCTGTTGTTGCTGAAGCGGGCGCTGTTGTGGCCGAAGTTGTGGCTCCTCTGGATTCGTCGACGTTCCTCCTGATGCCACGCATGAAGGAGCTGTTGCGATGTACTTGCAGACACCAGGAACCGCAGACGGCGTGATGTTCGGGGCCGTAGTGGCTGGGGGCGAGGGAGATCTTGATCGGCCAGAGGTCGTCGAGGAAGCGGACGATGTAGAGGTCGGCAGTGGTGGTGTGCCGCGATTTTTGCCCAACCACCAGAGCGCGTCTTTGGCTTTGTACCAGAAGTAGGCTCCGACGGGTATGGCGGTGGCGCTGAAGCGGCGGGTGTAAGTGTGGCGGGGGACGTAGGTGTAGCCGGGTGAAGACGCACGTTCTCCTTTGGCGCGGGAGAGTTCGCGAGCAGCGGCTCCTATGCGCATGTTGCGGTAAAGACGGTTCTGTTGGCTGTGCTGATCCGGTGTGCCACACCAGTAGCGAAGGATGTGGTGACGCGAGTGTTGAAGGTCGATTTCGCCTTCCCAGGAGGATCGAAGCAGGCCTTTCCAGTGCGTTTGGTAGAGAGCGGCGAGTACGCCGCCGCGTCCGCGGACAGTTTGGTGGCCAGTGATTTTCTCTACTTGAAGGCGTTGAAGGGGCGTCGGGACGTCATCCTCGGTAGCGTGGTACGGAGGGGATTTGTTGGTGTGATTGTTGAGGACGTGTCTTGTGAGGCCAGCAGGCAGGAAGCGGGGTATGTCAGTGTCGTGGGCGTGGTGGCACTGCTTGCAGTGTACTACGGAGAAGGCGGTTTTTGGCGTCGGCGCCGGGCAAGTCGTCGGGCAGGTCCAAGTAGAGGAGTTTGTCGGGGATCGGGCGCCCCTCTGGTGCTTTGTCACTGGGGCCTACGGCAAGAATTTTGAAGGGCCCAGTCCAGTTCAAGGAGAGCTTGGCTTTGAAAACCTGCGAGTCCGAGGCGGAGGCAGAGGCGGTGGTGGAAGCGCCTTGGCGAATTGTCGATGCCTGATTGTAGACCCAGACCCAATGTCCTGTCTTGTAGACGGGTCGTCGGTGAAGGGCATCCGATAGTGACGAGTTCCTGGGCTCGATTTTGTCGACGTTGAGCGCGTGTTGCTCTGGAACGAGGTCGCCCAAGCGACGTTGCCTGTCCAAAGCGAGGTTGTGGTATTGAAGTTGATCCTTAGCCAGTGTTTGGTGTCCGCGAGCGTAGATATTGTCGAAAACGGTCATCAGGAAGCGAGCAAGTCGACCGATGTGCACTTGGTTGGGTGCTAGCCCTGTGGCGGCGCTCACGGTGTGTTGTATTATAGGCAAATTCCACGTGCGGGAGGTGTAGATCCCGGTCATCTTGCCTCTCATTGACGGATACAGCTAGCATTTGAGCCATTGTGTGGTTGACGCGTTCGACGCCGCCGTTGCCGCAAGGGTGGTAGGCGCTGGTGGTTATTTTGCGTACGCGGAGAAGTTTGAAGATGGCGTCAGAAAGTTGCGAGGTGAAGTGAAGACCATTGTCGGAAAGAAGGCTCACCGGACATCCCCAGAGTGAACTGCATCGATTGACGAAGATATTGGCTGTCCCTTCGGCCGTGTAGTTCGCAGGTGAGACTGCGTACATGTCGACGCGCCGGCTAAAGCGATCGGTGAAGAGTAAGATGTAGGCGTTGCCGCGTGGAGTAGTAGGGAGCGGTCCAAAGTAGTCCACACTGACGGCCACACCTGGCCCTGATGGCAGGGGAATGGTGAGGATGGGCCATCGTATATTTTGTCGTAAGCTTTGTCGGGTCCAGAGGCGGGCGCAAGCGCTCATGTTCACCCACCAGTAGAGTTGTTCCAAGAGGCTGATGGTTTTGGCGATGCCAAGGTGGCAGAGAGTGTTGGAGTGGCATTGAAGCATTACCCAAGGACGCGTGTGCATTGGCACATAGATGCGTGTGGGTTCATTGTCGAGAAGGCGAGCAGCTCTACCGCTAGGACGATCGTTGTCGGAGTTTGGCGGTTTGGTAAATTGTCGAACCAAGAGCGGATTGCCGTCGTCATCGGTGATGATGCGACCTTTGGTGGCCAAGTCCTTGATGTCGGTAAGGGAAGGACGTAAGTGTTCTGGGGTGTCGCCGAAGAAGCCTGTGGGCAATGCTGAAGGTTGCCCAAGTTGCATGTAGCGAATGGCGGCGTTGCAAGTGACGTCCTTTTGTTGTTCCTCATGCCAGTCGGCGTGTGTGAAGCGCGCTACAGAGTCCATGAAGGATATCTCTGCCAGAGAAGGCAGTGGTGCTGGAAGTGACGAAGAAGCTGAAGTTGAGGGGGTCCCTGCGGATGATGTGTCTGCAGATTCCGACAGAGGTTCTGCGGGAGGTTCTGAAGGAGCAGTGTTATCTGCGGTTGGTAACGTGGGTACAAGCAAGTTCAGGTTGTCTGTGCAGGTGGCGTGGGAGGTGTTGTGTGCGGCCTGCGTGGAGGTGCAGCAGGTGCTGGTGCCGCAGTGGCGGAAATGTCTGGGCTGAAGCGGTAAGTTGCTTGAGGCAGAGGATTCCCCGATGTTGCAGCTGCGCGGCGTCGAGTGCGGGTGGATATCAAATCTGATGGATCCAAAGAACGCGGGCGCAACCGAGAAGGAGAGAGAGGCCGCTGAAGTGCAGGTGCTTCCAGGATATCTGACCTGGAGCGAGCTG